TTTTGTACGTTGCCCTAAGGAAGGTAAAAAAAAGGAGATAAAAAGGAAAAGATTTAAAAAAAATTAACAAAAAAAGGGAAGAAAAATAGAGAAAAGGGGATAAAATAAAGGAGGAGAGTAAGCAGTGTTTAGTCTGGCTCATAAAGTTAAAAACATTATAAACATGCATAAAGTAGAAATAAAAAGATAAATACGTACATTTCTTTTTTAAAAAAAACACCCTCCTTTCTAAAAATATTCCACACTTGCGCAAAAACTGGTGGGCGGTAAGGAAATTTTTCCATCAAGAAAGATCCATTAGTGGGCAGTAGGTAGAAAAAGGTTGACTACCATTGATTTAATACAATTCCACACTCAGGTTACAACCTGAGAATCTTCCAAATTAACTACTTCATAGCAGGGGTGAAATCAATTTACCTTCGCTACCAGTTCGCAAATGTGAGCACACGTGCCACCTCCACGCATTCACAGGACCTTCCGCGCATGCACAGAGCATCAAAAATGGGATTTGTTGACGTCCGGGCAGGTGGGTGCCAACTCTGCGCATTCACAGGACATTCTGCGCATGCGCAGAGCATCAAAAATGAGACTTGGTGACATCCAGGAAGATGGGTGCCACCTCTGCGTATTCATAGGACCTTCCACGCATGCGCAGAGCATCAAAAAAGGGACTTGGTGACATCCAGGAAGATGGGTGCCAACTCTGCGCATTCACAGGACCTTCTGCGCATTCGCAGAGCATCAAAAATGGGACTTGGTGACATCCGGGCAGATGGGTGCCACCTCTGCAGGCCATCAAAAAAAGGGGCTTGGTGACATCCGGCAGGTGGGTGGAGTCTCCCATCGCCATTGCCAGCAGTTCACCCGAACTGGATAGAACCGGCTGAATTGCACCACTGCTTCATAGACAACCGGCCCACCTAAGATGTGTTGGGAGAAAATGAAAGTCCCTGCCCTACAATGGCAGTATCTATTCCAGAATCTTTCCAAGTATTGAGTGACTTTAAAGTGTGCGTGGTGGTGGTGGGGGTTGTAGTTCGTGTTTTATTATTGTTATGAAATTTTTGAATGTGTGGATGTATTGATATTTTTATGGCTGATAAAAACTCTATTGTGAGTTTAGTTTTTGTAAGTCACTTCAATGTATGTGTCTGTTTTTTAAATCAAAGTGTGCTTTTTTAAAAACCAAAGTGACCATAAAAAGCATAATAAACAAACCAAATAAATAAGTCCCAGTGCATTTAATAATGTTTCAATTCTATCACATTCCAAAACTGTGTTGGTGATGGCTTTTGGAAGGGCCCTGGAAACACCATCCAAAACTTTTTAGGGTCGTCTCCTCTCTGAGCATCTTTGCTCCAGGTTTTCAGCATCTTCAAATGTTCTGCCCCGTGCCACTTCAAAGTGAAAGTGAATCCTTCTTTAAGGTAATAATCTCTCATGCAATATACTCTTCCCCTATAAAAAGTCAGCACATCAGGAAGAAAAGTAGGCTAGATAACTTTTCAGCACTATAATTAGGTTCATTTTCTATGTTGGGACAATGGGGAAGCAGCTCCATCTAATTTAGCAAAAATCAGACATCAGAGCTGTGTACTGCTTTGTTTTCAATCATATATATGTGTGTATGTGTGTGTGTGCGCGTGCGTGCATGCATGCCTTCCTGCCTGCCTGTGTTCCAGCATAACTCTGGAACGCATTGACCAAACTTGGTAACAGATTACTTATTCTCTGGAAACAAATACT